AGATGAGGAATGCCTTAACTTTGTCTTAGGTTGAAAAGTTGCTTCAACATTAAATAGGTTTCTGCAATATTCTTGGCTGTAATCTTTGTGTCCTAAAAACTCAGACGAAACACATTGAAGAAACACAGACATTTTGTTTTAAAAACGTATGCAAACAAAATGTATGTGTTTCTTCAATAAGACTAATAGCCTTTAAAATCCTAATGAAAAAAAAAGAATTAAGTGAAAACAAATTAATAAAAATTACAATTAAAATATCATAATGTCACAAAATCTTAACTTTTTCTGCGTGACTTATTCCTGCGCCTTCCTATTGCTCCCCAGCCTATTTTTTAAAAATCACTTTGTAAAATCCAAAGAATCTCAAAGAATGTAATAATTTACTAATTTACCCTAATCCACACCCTCCCACCTCCTTTTAAAACATAAATAATCAAAGTCATAATTTTCATTTGCAAAATAACTCTAGTAGTTAAAATTCCCTTTGAATGAAAAAACCCACAAATTTTAAAGAATAATTTTAAAACTATTTGATATCCGTGCTGTTCACCGGCGTGATGTATGTAAATAAGGTAAAGCTTACTTAATAACAGAGTTCCCCGTAAAGTGTTTTTCAAAGTTTCCTAGCTATTTAAATGTATAACCCTTTAAACATAATCTTCATCATTAGTCTTCCAATTCAAAGTACTTTAGTCAGTTATAAAGGTAAAGAAGCATTACTCTGAATTTATTACAAAGAGAATGACGCTAAGATTTTTAAGATTTTCAAACAGTTGAAAAAAAAAATTAAACCAATTTGTTTTGGATACCCAACAATCTATTTAAATTGGCTTGCTGTTATACCGTTGAGCCATCATGTTTGTAAAAAAAAAAAGAAACAAAACAAAAGAGAAATATGGCTATCACCAAAAAGCAGATCAACTGCATAATATTCCTTTTTTTGTGTCAAATTTATTTTCCACGAATTTTGTACGTAATTTAAAAATATGTTTTCTTTTTTTTTGGTTTGGATTTCAAAATGACAACCCTAGAATTTAGCTCTCCAGGCAGTTGCCTAATTGGCCTGCAACTAATGCCCCCCCCCCCCACATCCCATTTATTTATTTACTACTCTTTTTTT